AGAAACGAGAAAAATGAACAAAAATAGGATAGAACTGGAAAGGGAAGCTCAGGACGCAGTAGGTTGGAGAAAACTGATAGGCAGCCTATGCTACATTGGGAATGACAAACGTGGGTAAGTAAACAACATCTCTAACTAGAAATTGCGTTAACTTTCACATATAGCATCGCGAATATGAATTATTAATGAATCCTGAATGGTACAATCGAAATGGTCGTTCAGTGCTTCCACATTTCCAATGGTGGTATAACACTGATTCATTAATGATTTTAATCTGTAAAAAAACAATCTCTATGATACTCTTATGCAAAATCAATCATGTTCATACTAATGACTAGATTCGTGAAGATATTCTCACAGTTCTAGTAAGAACATGTGACCAGTGGAGTTAATCTCTGTCGGATGTAGGCAGTCAATCACTAAAGAAGGCAAAGGGTGAGTTGGTGTAAGATCCTTACGTATACAACAGTTTTTTCTTCATCATAGAGTTCTGGAGACTTTTGTTGATTAGTGACTAACTTTAGGAGGAAATTCTCACCGACGTAGTAAGAAGATGTGACCAATGGAGTAGTTCAACCGTGTTGGGTCTAGGTAGTACTTACCGAAGACAGTTGGATGAGGTTGAGAAAAATCCTGACTGATCATAGTTTGACACTGACACCATTACCAGTACCAGCCCAATGGTCCAGAGGTTGAACGTTCGCGCGAAAGACCGAAGGTCCTATGTTCAATTCGCAAGAGTGGGGATTGTGGGTGCGCACTACTGATGATTATTCTCATACTTGGTAGCATGGAATGGCTGTCTTCCAGTGTTTCTTGGCCTAACTAACAATGATCCGTTCATAATTTCAGCAATAAAATAATTTTCTAAACTTTGAATAATTAAGACTAAGGTATGTCTATTTTCCGATACCTAATCGTCTATTGACCAATGATAAACATGAAATACCACGCAACAATCGTGTTATCAACATGTCAAACATGTTATTTTAATACAAATGTGTGTATCTTATGAAAACAAATGAGTGAAATCCCACCGTTAACCGCGCTACAAAGATTCAATTCCAAAATGATGATTTTTGAGGAAGATAACATTTCTACACAAAAAAAACGTGCATCTGTTTTCATTATCACTGATTTGTCTAGACAATAGTGGATTAGTGTTGAAAATACTTATTATGTGTAGATATAAGGGTATACATGCATCAAAACTGATTGATGCACCCAAACTGTTTTTTAAATACAGAAAGACAAAGGGTAATAGATATACACAAGTTTATTATTTCAACAGTGTGTAGACCATCATTCGAAACCTGGAAGCAAAGAACATCCATGATTCCAGCTAATCACAAGATTCAAACCCAGGACATTCGATTGTAAGCAAGAATGATTAACCTATGTGTAGTTGTTAACCTGAAATCACCAAGGTCAAAGGAAAAGACCAAAGAATACACTTCATTCCAGTTCGCTTAGATTTAATTTGCTTAAGCCCTTTTCGATCAATTTATTTAACCAAGCCATGTATGTACCATTCGTTCTTATTATTATTGTCTGGTTTGTATGATGAGCTCACATTGTAGTGAATTAGAACACAGGTGGGGCAACCGAATTGTATTTAACGAAAATTACAGAGTTACCCAGTAAAATTGGAAAACCATATCGTAAATCGTTCATTTGCAAAATAACAGTTCATCATATCGATCTGAACTGTTCCTGTTGCAAAACATCAATCCATTGTCACTACTATTCATGCGTTTCATACAAATTCCATTGTTTTCTAACTCTTCCTTTGTTGATCTTCCCCAATATTATGCTGCCAGACATTACGTTTACACTCACGTCATATACTACTTATAAGTAGCTCACACCACAGTAGTAGTAGTAGTAGTAGTAATAGTAGTAGTAGTGTGAGTAGTAGTAGTAGTAGTAGTAGTAGTAGTAGTGTGAGTAGTAGTAGTAGTAGTGTGAGTAGTAGTAGTAGTAGTAGTAGTGTGAGTAGTAGTAGTAGTAGTGTGAGTAGTAGTAGTAGTAGTAGTGTGAGTAGTAGTAGTAGTAGTAGTGTGAGTAGTAGTAGTAGTAGTAGTGTGAGTAGTAGTAGTAGTAGTAGTAGTAGTAGTAGTAGTAGTAGTAGTAGTAGTAGTAGTAGTAGTAGTAGTAGTAGTAGTAGTAGTAGTAGTAGTAGTAGTAGTAGTAGTAGTAGTAGTAGTAGTAGTAGAATTATTAAAAATAATGTCAGTGCGCAATAAAAACTCTCATTAAACTTGATCAAATGAAAATTAATTAACTATTCCAATAAAAATAATCTTTATGTTCATTAATCAAAAGTTTTCATGATTAATTTTGTCAAGTTTTTTTTTTAGTAAAGCGTTGTGTTTTCTTTTGTTTCAATCATATCCTAAGTGAAATTAATGCTGACTAGTGATGATAGTTGACAGAGCTATTTGTTGATAGAGCTTTATTAATATAAATGATGAGATCAACTTGTAACTTATTCATTGCTGAAATCATCATTGATGAGATAATATATTTTTTAATTTTGATTGATTGTATGTATGAAATTCGAGATAAGAACTAATTTGGAATGGATAGGTAAAACAATCATTTAGATTCAAAAATAAGCTTTGAGTAAATCTTGTTAGAACATCATTAAGAGCCTGAAAGCACTGAAAGACAGCTGTTTCGTTCTATCTGGTTAGGGGACTACTCATCAGCAGTGCGCTCCTATGACCCCCCCCCATTAACTGTAGGCAGGTATTTAGTGCGAACGACTTACCTCCGGGCCGGTACTCATTGGGGTTAATGTCAAACTCGGATCAATCTAAGGATTCTGCGCAACCTCACCCAACAGTCTTTGGTAGTTACTATCTACACCTGACAATGTTGAACTAATCCACTGGTCACATCTTCTTCCTCCTGAAGCTGGTCACTAGTGAACAACAATCTGCATTACTCTCTAATGAAGTAATAATTATTGAGGCAGTTACGCAATGAATACAGTGAATGATGGATGGTTGTACAATATTATGGATTCAGTGGTCTGGAGGTTATGAGTTCCCTCTTTTGGATTCACTTTGATACTAGGACGAAGCGGCCATTCAATACTTCTAGGTTTTTAATAGTGGTCTAACATGATGATCAATTTATACTTATTGACTTTACTTTACTCCTGTAATCTTTCATCGAACGTAGGCCACCGACTAGTATTCTCCGACCTGCTCTATCCTGGGCTTTCCTTTGCAATTCTGTCCAATTTTTGTTTATTCTGCTCATGTATGTCTACATTTCTCCTCTTCCCCGTTTTCCTTGAGGATACCAAGTGAGGTGTTGTCATGTGACGCAGTTGGATAATTTCCTCAATGTGTGTTCTGGCTTCTTCCGGTGCTTCTTCCTGATTTCTTCCTTCACCATAATCTGCATTCTCCTCACCTACAGTAGGTTGTTCCTGATAGTATCTGGCCAACGAATCCGAAGTATTTTAGGTAAACAACTTGCTTAGACAACTGTTAATAAACCCTTGTAGCTTCTGGATGATGACTTTCGTAGTTCTTCAAGTTTGAGCTCCATGCATTTGAACTTTCTTGACATTTCTTTTGAAAATTGTGACTTCGGTGTTGATTGATAGGTGTTTTGAGTTCTGCATGTTTTTCCATCTGAGAAATGCTATCGTTGCTTTGCCGATCCACACCTTCACATCTCCATCGGATTCACCTTGTTTTATTAATGATGCTGCAGTGACACATCTTTCAACGCTTCTCTGTCGAGTGTTTTGGTTGAATGGATGTTATGTTGTATCGGAGAAACTTGGTTTTCCCTTTTGTTAGGGACGTTAGGTCCCTAGGACTCACTTGATAAAGGTCCTAATATTAAATTTTTTGTTTTAACGCATGGGCTGATCAGTTGACCTTAAGATTACATTTCCCTCCCGGAAAATGCTTGACTGTTATTGGGTGATGTATTATTTTAGTACGCTCTTTTTCTAGCTCTCCCAAGGAAGTTTCTATCATGTATAAATAAACTTGATTTTCTAGGTGCTTGTAGAATACACTTTCTACGCCTTATCAAGAGATTTCCGTCTACTTAGTGTGGAGCATTGAGAATCTCAGATTAAAGTAGCCTATCATGTTACTGGATCATTTGCCTTCGCTCTCGTTTACCGACTAAAGTGAACTCGTAATAGCATTCAAGCATATCAGTTGACGAGTATAACACCTTTGCACAAAATGTTTTCAATAATAATGTTATGTTCGTCACTAGGTATACTTGAAGCTATTACAAGTTCCCCTTAGTCGATAAACGCGAACGAGACAATTACCGGCGTCCAGGTAGGCTACCTTGAATCCCAAACTGCAAAACAGAAGACTTGGTAAGCGTAGAAAGTATATTCTACAAACACCCAGCAATCACAATACAATCAAGCACACAACTCTCGTTTATTTATACATCATAGAAACGTCCTTGGAACAGTCACAAAAATAGCACACTAAAATACACAGCAGCCAATCACAGCCATGGATTTTCCTGGTGTGAAATGAAATCTCAAGGTCAACTGATCAGCGTATGCTGGCAAACGTGAAATCGAGAATAAGGCATTTATCAAGCGAGTTCTGGGGATCTGACATCTCCAACAAATAATAATAATAACTCCTCAATCATTTCCATCACCGTTGTGTATATATTTATTTTTCCACATTCACAATTTGATTGAATCAACATCACTCCTACTAGTTACTGACTGATTAAATAAAATTTGATCTGATAAAAATCTCTCATACAACTGACTTTTTATTTCCTTTTGAAAACGCGAAGTAAAACTATTTCATTCGGTATGAATTTTTTTTTTCAGTTTGTTATCAATTTTTAAAATCACTGACATTTTATGATAAACAAAATCAAACAAACAGATTCACTGTAGCGCAACTATTTAATTGAACTCGTTAGTTTGCCTTCAATCAAACGATCAACCAACCAACCAACCAATCGATTCTATCATACTCTGTCTGATGTTATCATCATCATCATCATCATCATCATCATCATCATCATCATCATCATCATCATCATCATCATCATCATCATCATCATCATCATCATCATCATCATCATCATCATCATCATCATCATCATCATCATCATCATCATCATCATCATCATCATCATCATCATCATCATCATCATCATCATCATCATCATCATCATCATCATCATCATCATCATCATCATCAGATCAGTGATGCCTTTATTGCGTTTACATTGTAATTAAATTGAATATTGATCACTCTGTTGTGTTTTTATCAAATGTATTTATTTATTGCGGCGTGGAGTTGTTCTTCATATCGTGTTGTTGTTCGCCTTATCGCTTTATCATTCAATCATCAATCATTAGGTGAAAAAAAAAGATTACGACTGCATTTTTTTTCTTTATAGCTCTGTTTCTCAATCAATCAATAAATCGATAAGACGAAATTGTCAAACACACCATTGCAATGTAAATGTGACAACTCGTAGTAGTAGTAGTAGGGTAGACATGAGAGAGAAAAAATCAACTAAACGAAACGAAAAGTTCATTTTTAGTTGAAATTTTTTTATTTTGCAGACAAATAAATTTATAACTATGAGAATCTGTTCAATCTTCAATGTGTTCTTTGTTTTTCTATTTCGTCGAAATTATGACAGATATATACATCTTTTTGGTTATGAAATCAATCTGATTAGAATAAAATGACACAAAAGATGATGGCGTTTATAAAAGATTTAAATAAACGCAAAAATGCGAATAAAATTTACAAAAAAAATATTAAAATAAAATTATTATTATGTCGAAGTTTCATATCAACTATCATTTGAGTAAAATTACAATTAGTAGTAATATAACTACGTACTTAAGTATGTGTGTTACGGTTAGTGGGACCAGTATTCTCCACCCAAATCTATCCTTTGCTCTATTTATCACTTGTTATCAAGTGTTATTCGATCTTTTCATAACTACTTCCAGTTCCCAATGCTATGTACTATTTGGTATGCTTCTCTACGTACCACCTTAGTGCTTGTCTGGCGACGCAGTTGAGTGATTTCTTCCACGTATGTCTTACCCGCCTCCAATGCTTCTTCCTGATTTCTTCCTCAGCTGGAGGAGTCTAGTAGGTGGTCGCTGATAGTAGTGTCTGGCCAACAGATCATTAGTTTTTTGCATAGACAACTGGTAATAAACAGTTATATCTTCTGGATGATGTCTTTCGTAGTTCTCCATCTTTCTGTCCCATACAATAGAAACCATTTTGACATTCGTATTGAATAGTCTGACTTTGGTGTTTGTTGATAGTTGTTTTGAGTAATATAGATGTTCTTCAGTTGTAGAGATTCTCGCCTTGCTTTACTAATCCATATCTTTACATTCACATCATTTCTACCTTCCTCATCAATGATGATGATCAGATAATATGATGGATTAGTAATGTAAATGTATCACATAAACCAGGATTCTCTAACAAAATCTATCCTACGTCCTCATTTCCACTCCTAACCGATCCCTTTTTATTCTTTTCATATCTGCTCTGCCTCGAGCCCCTCTCGGTTTACTGTTGGTCCAAAGCCCGAATAAAAGAGTGAGGTTGGGCATTGGATTAGCAATTCCATCCCCTAAATCGCTATTTTTCTCATCTACCTGATGTACAACTTAAACTCTTCAGTTTTGCTTGAAAAGAATTTTATCTGATCACTTTTATTTACTTCTAAATCTTACATTATTCTTCTCAAGGGGATCCTATCTTTTTTAGCTTTATATTAAGATCTTACTAAGAACAGTAACACCGAGTGCTTTTTTCAACTACATTTTTCCTCATGTCAGTCATTCTTTCCTGATTGGTTGCCACTACTCTTAACTCTCTAAATTTTTGTACGCTTGTAGAATATACTCATGTTATTGTACCTACTGAATTCTACTATTTCAAGTGTTCCTGTTTGAATATCAGCTTCATCTGATTTTGTTGATCTTTCTGTATTAGCGTCTACTTGTTGAAGTGTTGTCAACTACTGTTATTGTGAGTCTATAAAATAGAACGGTTCTAATAATCGAATATCTCAAACGTTTCTTCATTAGTAAGTATCGTGAATCAACTGGAACTCCGTAAATTATATTATTCTTTTTGTCAATATTACTTACTTAATTACTTACGCCAGTTACCCCCAATCGAGCATAGGCCACCGACCAGTTTTCTCCAACCAACTTCGTCCTGGACATCCCTTTCCAGTTCTATCCAATTTCTGTTCACTCTTCTCATATCTTTCTCTATTTCTCGGTGTAAAGTGTTCCTTGGCCTTCATCTTTTCCTTTTGCCTTGAGGAATCCATGTGAGGGCTTGACTTGTGATGCAGTTAGGTACTTTCCATAGTGTGTGTCCTATCCATTTCCACCACTTCTTCCTGATTTCCTCCTCCACTGGAATCTGGTTTGTTCTCTCCCACAGTACGTTGTTGCTGATAGTGTCTGGCCAACGAATCCGAATTATTTTGCGTAGACAGCTGTTAATAAACATTTGTATCTTCTGGATGATGGTTTTGGTAGTTCTCCATGTTTCCGCTCCATACAGTAGAACTGTCCTGACATTTGTATTGAAAATCTCAGTTGTCCTACCTGTGTCCAATGCGTTTCACTTATGCCGAGCACCTCGAGGTTGTATCTTTTCATTTCTGCCGCAACTTGAAATAGTCTTCCAGTCTCCCAGATTGTACGAACATTCCATGTACCTAAAAGAATGGTTACTCTGGTTGTCAGAAGGGCCATCGGCCTCGTGACTTCCGAAGGAACACGGCTTTCATCACGCGACGTCATAATTCTTCTTCCAACTCCCAGGGAAGAGTTAAAATGGTTTGAATTATTTTTTCTGATTTGGCAAGTTAGTTTATAGTTGAGATGGGGGCACAAACCCCATGCCTAACCTCTCCTCCTCTATCCGGGTTTGGGACCGGCAGTAACTTGGAAGGGTCTACAGGAGGAGTTTTTTTGTCAATAAATATTACCGTAATTTTTCATGACTAAATTATTGTACTTTTTCGATTCAATTTCTCATTATTTATAATTGATCAGATTACCTGTTAATTGTATTTGTTTTTTCATCCCAATTTAACTAATTGCGCGCGGCAAACCTATAATTTATGAACAAATTAATTAGATTATACGATAACGAGTCTTGGATTTGCGATCGAAGTTTATTCATAATTACTGTTAAACAATGTTTTCGCATTAAATTTGATGTTAGTTCGTGATGAAAACCCTAACTACTAAGTGTATATTTGAAATTTAGTTTCTCGCCTTAAGTTATCACTCTCTTTAAACCCTTTGCGAGTAGGTGAGTTTTCTCAAGATCATTTTGGTGTTGCTTTGAAGATGTTTCTCCTAGTTCTAGTGAGAAAACGTGCCTAGTGAATTTCGACGCTGTTCGAAGCAGCATGAAGCAGCACTCGCCAAAGAGAGTGGATAAGGTTCGAAATTAAACTGGTGGATGCCAGCTCAGCTGTCTAAAAGTTAAACGTTCGCACGAAACACCAAAGTTTCTGGATTCGATTCTTACTCAGGGCATGAGTCGTGGATGAGCAATACTGAGAAGTCCCATACTACGAAGAAACGGCCTTCTTTCAGTGCTTCCAGTTTTCTAATGGTCTTCTAATATTGATCGATTCAAGATTATTTCATGCACAACACAGTGCATTCTTGATGCTTTTCAGGAGTCGATTGCACACAGTTTAATTAAAAAATTCATAGATTACTAAATATATAAATAGTATCTTGCAACTGATAACATAACAATAGGATACAAATTGAGGAAAGCAACCAACTGCGTCACAACTAATCCTCAACGCTAAAGGAAGATAAAAAGACCAAAGAAAACGTTACTTCGAGTATTGGAGGTAGACATGCATAGAACGAATGAGATTTGGGTAGAACTGGAAAGAAAGACCTAGGACAGAATAGGTTAGAGAATGCTAATCGGCAGTCTGTGCTCCATTAGGGGCGAACAAGTGTAAGTAAATAGTGTTATTGATTACATTTTGTAGCCCTACTTTAGCTGCTACCTTGACGTGGTGATCGCAATTGCCTATCGTCATGACCCGACCGAGCTATACTGGCTGTAATATATGTTCCTGAAGGTTCTACCATGCCAGGCAGGTCGATTGGAGAACGATGAGACTAAAAGCAGCTACTCAAGGACTG